AAACACCTTGACCTTTAAAATCAAATAAAATTATGAACGAAAATAACCCCTTATTTAACAAAACAAACCTCCTTATTTTAGGAGTGATAGTAGCCGGAATTGCCCTAGTGATTTACTTTAAGAAAAAAGAATAGCTATGAAAGACAAAATTTATGAAAGTGCTAAATACTTAGCTCTGGGCATTCTAATCGGCTACTTAGCTCCTTATGCTTTAGCTTTAATCAAAACTTACCGAGCAAAACCTAAAAACGAACCAGAAAACTAACATGAACACTAAATGATTAATCTATTATAGCTTGCTATTTTTAGCTGGCTGTTATATTCGCCATTGAGTTCACACTGGAACTGGCCAATTTAGAGCCTTAAACAACTATTTAGGAGGCGACTGATAATGAGCGGAATAATTTTTAGTTCCCTGCTCACGGTTCTTTGCGGCTTTTTAGCCCAACAGACCGTAGAAACCTTACTAAATATTGGCTTAACCATGTTGCCTTTTAAAATTCAAACCATAAAATAAATTAACTGGGAGAGAAAAACTAGCTTTAAATTTGATATTTTTTTTTCATCGACACCTGGCTTGCTAGTGAAGCTCTCTCCCAGTTTATTTAATAGCCTATTCTGTCAAGTTAACCCCGCCCAATAGCCCTTAAACCACCCCTAAGTTTACCAAATCATTATTGCCCAGTTTACAAAATATGAAAAAAACCCAAGAGCAAGTTTTAACTTTAACCCAATTAACCGCTCTTTGCCAAACTCCTTCCGGTCTGCACTTACCTTATCGCCACGATAAACTTTTAGAAGGCGTTTTATTAATGGGCTTTCTGGGCTTACGAGTCAGCGAAGCGATTAATTTTTCTTGAATCCAAATTCCCGTAGAAGGCAAATCCGCCTTTTTAGTGCACGGTAAAGGCAACAAGCAAAGATTAGTCTTTAATCTTTTAAATCATCCTTATATCCTTAAAAAAGCCAAGTCTCCTCCCGGCCAAGATAAATGAACTAAAATCAGCCGAATGGCCATTTGAAAGTATTTGCAAAAGAAAAGTTCCGAACTCAACTTAACTTGAACCATTACCCCGCACACTTTACGCCGTTCTTTTGCTTCCATCTTACACTATGATTTTCACTTAGAAAGCCCCTCCTTACAGCAACTCTTAGGTCATAGCCAATTCCAGACCACTGAACGTTACTTAAAAAAAGATACCCGTTACTTATTGAATTCTCTGCAAAGAAAAGGCTTTATGATTTAGC